TCCTCTTTTCTAAGCTGAGAAGTCCCAGTCTCTTTAGCCTCTCTTTATATGGGACCTGTTCCAAACCTCTGATCATTGTAGTTGCCCTCCCCTCTCCCACCCTCTCTCTTCCCCTCTCCCACCTCCTTTTCCCAGTCTCCCCGAGTTTTGTTCAATAAAGAGAGATTCTATTTTTGACCACACTTTTTCTTTATTTTGTACATGAGGAAGGGGGGCTAGGGAGGGGTAAGTGGAAGGAGGTGAGGGAGGAATGGGGTACGAGCCCCCGATGGGGAGGACTGGGCTGGCTCTGCGGGCTTCTGGGGGTGGAAGCTCTCCTGCAGCCCCCCAATTGCCCCCTCTCCCCAGATGGCAGCCTGCGGCAAGTGCAGCCGGTCTGATGGCTGAGTGCTGTGATGTGCCCAGTGTGGGCACTCAGAGCACTCCAAGCCAGGACTGTTTTGCAAGCGGGGCACCCCTGAGAACTGTCTGTCCGGGGTGGGGGTCGGGTCCCTTTAAGCACAGCCCTCGGCTAGCCTGAGGCAGCAACTCCACGCTCTAAGTCCTCATCTGATGCCCTGCCGGCACTGCTTCCGGCCATCCTTAACCCCGTTTCAGGGTCCACTTAATGTGGACATGCTAGTTCAAATTAGCAAAACGCTAATTCGAACTAGTTTTTTAGTCTGGATGCGTTAGATCGAATTAGCTTAGTTCGAATTAACTAATTCGAACTAAGTTAGTTCGAATTAGCGCTGTAGTGTAGACATACCCTCATTGAGGTGGACAAGCAAGCAGGGAAACCTGATAACTGGCTGTCCAGGCGGATCCCTTTGAGCACAGACCTCAGATAGCCTCAGGCAGCAGCCCCACACAGTAAATCCTGAGCCCTGCTGGAACTGGTTCCGGCCAGCCTTAAATGTGATTCAGAGTCCACTCAATGTGGATGCGCTATTTTGAAATAGCAAAATGCTAGTTTGAAATGCATTTTGTATGTAGATGCGTTATTTCAAAATAAGCTATTTCGAAGTAACACTGTAGTGTAGACATACCCATAGTCATAGTACAGTAAGATGAGTTAGTATATCAGCTGATAAATACTACAATACAGGTTGGACCTCCCTCGTCCGACACCTTCAGGACCTGAGCTGTCCTGAATCAGGGAGTTTGCTGGACCAGGGAACGTCAGGGCTTCCCTGCTGGCTGCCCCGCTCCTGGGCTCCTCACCCTGGGGCTCCCTGCCCTACTACTGGCCCCACTAAAGCTGTCCCACCATGGCTCCCCACCTTGCTGCTTGCCAGCTTCCCTAGGGTTTCACGGGGTTCCTGGCAGGGACCACTTGGCCACTGCCAGTCCCACTGTTGCAGGGTGTTCCCTGGGGTTTCTGGCTGGGGGCACCCAGCTGCTGGTGGCCCTGCAGCCATTGGGGGTTGCTCAGCCAGTGCCACCCGGACACCCCACCCTAGAGCTAGGGCTGCCCTGCTGCTTCCACCAGCTTCCACCAGGTGGATTCCAGCCATCAGCTCCTCTTCAGCCTGGGGTTCTCCAGTGGAGGCTGTTCTGTCACCCCAGCCCCCTTGCCACTGGGTGTTTCCCAGGGTTCCTGGCTGGGGTCACCTGGCCACAGATAACCCCGCTGCAGCTGGGAGTTCCCTGGCTGGGACTGGGACTCCCCAGCCATGTGGCCCTGCTAATGCCGGGGGTTCCCTGGGCTGGGCAGGAGCTCCCCAGCCTCCATCTGGCCCTGCTGATTCCGGGAGAAGGGGGTGTCCCTGGCTGGGGCTCCCTGGCCACCGTCTGGCTAATGCTGGAGGTTCCGGGCCAGGGCGGGGGCTTCCCAGATGCTGCCTCGCCAAGCTGGGAGTGCTCCCCAACCCTTGTGTTGCTCCGCAGCTCTTTGGTCCAGCATCATCCCTGGCCCAGCTGGACCATGGATGTTGCCGGACCAGCGAGTCGCAGGTTTGACAGGTTCAACCTGTACAATGTACCTCAAACTACTCCATGTCCTCAGTACTCTCCAGACCCTCCCTCAAGCCATGTCTTCACTAAGGGGGAAAGTAAGATATGTAAGTCCAGCTATGTTAATTACATTTACATTTCCACGCGGACTCCACAACTGGAGGTTTGCTCTCGTTGGCTTCCCTTATTCCTTGCGAGGAGCAGGAGTACTGGTGCCGATGGCAGTGCCCTCTGAGTTCAATTTACTAGACCCACTAAATCAAACTCTGGAAGATCAATCGCAGCAGCATCAATGTTCCTCCTAGTGAAGACATGGCCTCAGATTATGTTTTCATCATGGATAAAATGGTATATTGTGTCCTGTGAAGACAGAGCAAGTAAATGTAACCTGACTTGATTTCTGTCATTAAAAGAAAAGTACAGTATTGAACTGCATTTCTTCCAGGAGTGCTGTGCAGATGGAGATGGATGCTGAATTCTTATTAAAATGTGAAATAATAGGCTTTCCTACATTGAACAGACAGTGCAATTTGTACTTTAGCCTGTATTTTACACTGTCATCTGCATCTTGTACTGCAGTGGTCACTCAGGAAAAAAAAAAAAACATGATGTAGAACAATCTACTAAGGTTCCATTTTCCATACATTGGAAACCATGCTATCACAACAAAGTTTAAGCACTGTTTATGTTAGCAGGCTTGTAAGATAGTTTCCCTGACCAGTGTTTAAGAATCATGTTGGAAAACCATGTAATAGCATTCTTTTAACAACAGTATGGAAAATATGTATTTTCAAAACATACATAAATATAACAGCCTGTGTGTTATCCTCAAGCCAACAACCTATTGTTTTTAATACTTAATTTCCAAGTGGAATGATGTTATTTTTGTTTCTAAGTAGAAAGATAATTTAGAAATTTGTTTTGATGGAGAGCTCTATTCATGCTGACTTTATTCAATTTTTTAAAAATTTAGATTCTGTGGCCCATGTTTTTCTCGTTACTATAGTTCCTTGTTCCTTTAGCCAGCGAAATTGGAAAGGTACTGTTTTCTGGATTCCAAGTAAGTTATTTTTTGTGTTTTCCATCAAAATTTGGGGATTATATTCTATATTTGCAAGGGGATATTTAAGTAACTTCTATCTCTAGCCTTCTATTCTAAATGAGAAGGCTATTTAGGGGAAAATTTTCATTGTCAGACATGAAAAGATACATCATAATGATATAGAAAGAGCCTGATTTTCTAATACATTTTTGTAAAGACATGTGCACTAAAACATGACTCTCTTATCCATGCAATTACCATAATTTTACACACTAATCCAGCAGTTGTGCAAATTGTCACTTGGACAAAAAACTGTTAATTTGCTCATTTAGTTACTGAATGTAACATTAATGAATATTGTGCATAAATTGGGCACACAATTGCTCATGCACAATTTAGAAAATTCATTTAGAAGTATAGCCAAAGATTAAATGCCAAATTCACCTACCCAAACCCTGTCTAAAGTAGAAAAATAAATTGCACTTAAAATATGTGTTAGCTAACACATTTTAACTCACAATTTTGAATGCTAGTATAGTTAGGATTTATACACCTTTAAGAATATGTTAGCTCACTGTAGTCTATCCTAGGCCCTTTGTGACATGATTCAGTGTCACCCAGCAGTCCCCCCATAGAGGGTATGTGATTTTGGTGGATCTTGAAGGGAGAGACACAGGGCCTACTACAACCAGTACCATGTCTCCTCCCTGTAATGATCACTTCCAAGTTTTCTCTTTTTCGCATCAACCATCTTCTTTAGTCAGTTAAGATGTTGAATGTAGCACTTGAATCCGGCAGAAGTACAAATGAGACAGCCTTGTTAAGATAGAGTACTACCATAGCTAAGGAGAAAAAGTGGTTAAATTCTTCTACCATTTCACTGAGCTTTTTGATTAAACAGAGGAGGAGCAACCCAGTTTTCAGATTGTGGGCATCGCAGGAAGAAGGAGCAGTTTTGTAGAAAAATTTCCAGTCTCTGCTATCCCACTTTATAAAGACAAATACCTAAAAATGTAGCAAAAGACTTGCGTTCTTTTCTTCCATTGTGCCGTTTATCCAAGTATGTAAAATGGGGTGTGTGTGATGATATTTAACTTGCAGAGTTGTTGGATTCAATTAATTTATGCTCATTCACTTCACTTTGAAAACACACAAAATTGTAGCCCCAATTCAGCAGTGTAATTAATCATGTTTAATTTTAATCACCTGTATGGAACAATTTGGATACATATATCGAAGTGCTGGAGACGGTAGAAAATTATTCATATTTCTTATGGATGGAAAATAACTTTTCAATTACAACTGTTACAATGACTTTTCATTTCAGTGACAACTCCAGTTTTCATTTAATATTTTTGTCCAAAAACGTGAACATTTGCAATTTAAAACCAAATAATTTATTTCAGGCTTTTGTTTTTTAGACGATACCCTCCAAAAATTCTGAAGATTTTTTTTCCTTGTGTGAAGTGAAGAATAATTTCCCAGCCAGTAACATCATACTTAAAAACCATGCTGAGTCGCACCTTATATGAGTACTAAGTTTAATATTCTAGTCTCCATTAATGTGCATGATTCTCACCCTTGTAAGGAGTGAATATATTTTATGGAGATTTCATCAATTTATGTTTTGCTTATTTTTAATAGGGAGTGATATAATCTTTATGAAGGTCAGGATAGAATTATGGTATAACACTGCAAAAGTATTAGATTCAAAACATATTGTTTGCCATGGATTTGATGATGACTTTTCATTTTGTGGAACGCTGAAGGGAGGTAAGCAGGGGAAGGGAGGGAATTTGATACACAGGGAACAGAATCCCGCCATAGGTTGGACCTTCCTGGTCGGCACCCTTGGGACCTAAACAGTCCTAAACCAGAAAGTTTGCTGAACCAGGGGAGGTCAAGGGTTCCTTCTGGCTGTCCACCCTGCTCCCAGATGCTAGCCCTGTCCTCTGGGCTCCACTTCCGGCCCCGGGTGGTGCTGCACTCCCACCATGACAGCCCCGCTGCCTCTGGCTTAGCCAAGGCTTCACTCTCCACTGCCAGCCCATTCCAGGCTGCACTCCTGACCCTGGCCAGCTGGGACTCTATAGTCCAGCAATATCTGTGATTCTGCCGGACCACAGATGTTGCTGGACCAGAGTAATGGATTTCAGAGGTTCAGTATATAGCTTCAAACACTGTTGTTGCTAGTAGGTTCCTTAGAAAGCTGTTTAACTGAGCAGCATAGACAGGGATTTTTCTGTGTCTGTGAATAGCTTTAGAGTTTAGACAATAATTCTTGCAAGAGGGCCACTTCACCAGTTTTAGTAGTGGTCCCAGGCTGGCTCCACCCCCTATGGCAGAAGGGGCCTATGGCAGAAGGGGCGGTTCCCTCTAGGCACTGCCTGCCCTTGGGGAAGAAAGGAGACTTTGTGCCCTCCCCCGCAGGGCAGGGGATCACATGAAATCTCTTGGCCACCATCCCCACAATGGCAAGGGTGCCCAGCATCCAGTGGGAACTGCCAGTCATTTTCAACAGCTGATGGTTCTCTCTGGTGTCTGCACGCCCTGGCAGGGGGCAGCGGAAACTTTGCACACACCCTGCCCAGGCCCTGATTGGCTTGGGGCAGAGGAGTGTGCAAAGTCTCTTGCCACGCTATCCTGCCACTGCGCACAGTGCCCAGAAGGAACCGCCTGCCACTTTGGAGAGTTAGCTCTGTTACTGTGTGCTTCTGGCAGGGGACAATAGACTTCGCACACACACCTTCCCCCAGTGCGAGGATGAGGGAGTGCGCAAAGTCTCTCACCCCCCACCCTGCTCTGTTAGGAGCATGCAGTGGCTAGAGGGAGCTGCCAGCTGCCCAAAGTGGCAGGCGGTTCCCTCTAGGTGCAGTGTGGGGTGATGGAGGGGAGGAGATTCTATGTGCTGTGCTTTCCCCAAGCCAATCGGGGCCTGAGCAGGGTGTATGCAAAGTTTCTTCCTCCCATCCCTGCCAGGGGTGCACGGGCACCAGAGGGAACTGCCAGCTGTTCAAAATGTCTGGCAGTTCCCTCTGGGCACTGTGAGCCTCTGGGGCAATGGGGGTGGGAGGTAGGCTGAGAGATTTCAAGAATACAAAATACAAGAATGCAAGCAATGAAGGATGAAGGATAAAATTGGCAAAGCAAAGGGGGCTGATGAAGAAGGTTTAAGAGAGACACAGAGGATGTGTCTACATTGCACCATAGCTTGAAATAAGAGACGCAATTTGAGCTACCCAAGTTGCATCTCTTATTTCAATCTTATTTAGAAAGCGTTTATTTTGTAATTTGACGCCGTCTACACAGCACCAAATTTTGAAATAACCCACTGTTCCGAAATGTCCCCTGCTCCTCATGGAATGAGGTTTACAGGGATATCGGAATAGTGAGCCCATTATATTTCAGTGTAGCGGGCTTGCTGTGAGGATGCAGGATAGCTATTTTGAGATACTCCTGTATCCTGGAATAGTGTTTCAGTGTAGACATAGCCGTAGGGCAGTAGAGGAGGCAGAATTATATAGTGTCTGTTAAACTTCGAATGCATACACTTATGATCTTCAGGCCACAAGCCAAACAAATTTCCCAGTTGCATTCTGTACTTTAAGGAAGACCTAAATAGAGAGTAAGAAATAAGGTCTCTATCCAATTCCCTCTGAAACTGACTGGTGTGTTTTATTTTATCATGGCTATGGACCAAACATAAGTAACCACTTCTGTTATAACTCTTCCTATTTTGCAGAGACGGTGAACACAACATTTCACATGAGCGGAGTAAGAACAACATTTCTAAAGGTATCTTCCAAAATATTACTGTGTCTAAGATATATGTTAATGGTTACAAAAATTACCAAAATAGCACACTGACATTTATTCTTCCCCTGAAAATAGTATTGCTCCAAAACTGTATAGAATTATACTGAATTATAATTTTGTTTCTTACTTCAGGAATGACTGTACTTGAGTGATAGGTGAACTCAAGTTATCCCTTGCTAATAGCTTTCTGAAGAGTTTATTTTAGAAAAGAAAATTAGCACAGGTAATATAACAAGACTTATGCAAGCAAACAGACAACTGTAAGGACTGTGAATACATAGTAATGATAAGAGATATCATGTAAATAAGAAAACTAACAGCCACTTTCGCCAAAGGGATTAACGTGTATATCACTCTAATGAGCCTATTATCATTTGGTGGTTCACTTAAGTTGGTACAGTCCCACCTATTTCCTTGCTTTCCATCTACAACTGTCTCATTTTGTCTTTCAGGTTCTCTTCTCCACTCCCTCCCTTCCTTGTTTTCCAAACATGCACACTCCTATCCTCACTTCAGGCAGTCTTTCTCTTTTCTTCCTCTCACTATGTC